ATTGGATTGATTCTGGGAAACATGTGAGTGATGAATTGTCCAAGTGGCAAATTATCTTCATCAGTCAAAGCAGGTTGAATTCTCTTAGCCTATTCGGAAGGATCTCATCTTATAAATTATCCATGACTATTTATGTCTGTTGCATGACCACTTGATGAAATTGGGGGGAAGTAGAGTAAATGGCCGATACTATTGGAAGGATTCCTTTTTGGATAATAGATACTGGTATTCTTGTGATTGGTTTAATAGGAATTTTCTTAATAGTTCATATTCCGAATTGAGTTCATTCTTGTTGTAATCGGATGAATTGAGTTGTAGACATGAAAGCGTAAGAACTCAATGGGATTAAAAAAAACTCTTTGAATTTTCGGTAGAAAGAGATTTTCCTAAGGAAAATGCTTTTAACGCTGGGGTAGAGCTATGGTTAATTAGAAGCTAGGATGTGGTAAGCCTCACTTTCCAACCATGGACATCATTGACTTCATTAAAGTAGGACATTGAAGCAACTCAAGGGGCATTATACAACTTTTTTAATAAAAAAATATTAATGGAACGGATATTCTTCAGCAAAATTTCTATTCGACGATCATTTATATAAAATTGTTGGTATTATCCATGGAAGTGTTATTTATTTTTTAATGAGTTCTTTCTATTTTTCACTTTTATATTTTTTAAATGTTATTTTGTTATCGACAAGATTTTTAACATCAGCCGGTATTCTAATAAGTGCGCCTAACACAAGGCGTGTGCAAAACGCCTTCCCTTGACATTAAGTACCAAAGTTGATCGTTTAATGCGCGTTTTTTTTAAAAAAAAAAACCTTTTATTTGACTTTAATTTATTAAATTTTTTTTTTTTTAAGCTTCTTTTATTTGATTTTAGTTTTGAGTTTTTAAATGATTTTATATGTACAAAAAGTCAAAATTTGACTTTATTCGATAAAGAGTGAAATAAGATTTAAGTTACGATATTATCTACATTATGTAAATATGATTTTGAGACTTATTGTTTTGATGAAAATTTAGAAAGTATGTATGAAATTCCTATAAATCTATTAAGATTTATCTAGTTGAAAGTCAAAATTATGAAAAATAGTCTAGTTTTTGCATTTGAAAAACTTGAAAACAGTATAATCGACTAATTGTTGGAATTATTAAGTGAATATAGTTTCTATAATTTTAGAAAGTTGGTACATATTATTTTAATTATTAAATAATTGTTAGAAATGATAAAAAAATTATAATAATATTAAAAATAAGAAAATACTTTTTACTTGTAGGTTTGTAAAGTTTGAAACTTGGCCTTCATATCTGACAACGCTTTACACTTTTTAAAACACTGACATTAGTACATAAATTTTGTATTTTATTAATATTTCTATCGATAAGTTATAAAAATAATTTGTGTTTTTATTACTTTATCTATAAAAGAAATCTATGTCGCTAAATTAAATTTATGGAAAATTTTATTTTAATATCACAACTAAGAATCCGTTCTTAATATGGAAATAAATCTTTAAATTCACATATAATTTGCTTAGCCCCTGTTGGATTTAACTAAAAATGGAATTTTTAATAGATTTTGGCAAAATTTGATAAAAAAAATGTGTGATTAAAAATTTGTGGATCCGATAAAATATGTGGTTAAATTTAATATTGATTTTGAATCAGATTAAAATCAAAATTATAATTCCCACCAGGCAAGAATTAGTGTTGTGAATAACAGGTAATACTATTTATTATCGATCCATGATAAATATCATTACTTTTTTTTTTATTAAGAATAAATTTTAATTTATTATTGAAAATTTTATTTTATCTGGAGTGGTGGTTCGAATTTATTATATGCTTGATTCGATACGAGTTAATATGATTAAAGAAATGGGCATTTAACATATATTCATACTCGATAACATATCAAATATATATTTATAGATCAAGTACAAGAGAAAAAAGAAATCAATTGACGCAAAATTGACACGATTAAAGAAAATAAAAGGACGATACATTCATTTAGCCCCCATTTGATAGAGATTAAAATAAAAAATTTTAGTAAATTTTGATAAAAATTGATGAAATGCGCGATTGAAAGATTCCGAAACTCACGAGATATGTGATTAAAATTGATTATTAATTTCGACATAAATTAAAATTTGATTTTTATTATTTTGTGGTGAATCATACCCAATATACTATAAAATAACAAGTGAAAAATAAAATTAAAAAAAAGGTCCATCCTAGTCCATGTGCATTTATAACTCAAATTCTATAGGCATTGAACATTGAAATCAAGCATTCACCTTGGAAAAAGAACTCCATGTGCAAATCTGTAAACCCTTTTACTTTGCCTCAACAAATGCATCTTAAGCAACATGCAGTGTTGAGGTAATGCAAGTTTTCATTATTAATTATTAAATACAATTGTAGGTAGTGACATGTTATTAAATAAATATAACTCTAGTATAAATACAATACTACTTTTAATACATGAAAGTCACGTTTCACTAATTTCTCATTAACTGACGAAAATAAAGTGTTATGTCGACATTTCTGTTTGTCACGTCGACGAATTTGTCAATTTTTCAAACGAGGAATTCTTGAGTAATGGACGTGATAACGGTTTCATAAGTTCGATGATCGTTCGAAAAACTTTCAAAATTTAGTGAACAATGCAAAGCAAAGTGAGGAAAATTCAACAAACATTTGGAAAAATCCTTGGAACTTACAATTTGATTTATTGTAATTAATCGAATGTGATTTTTTGTAGCTTACAATTTGATTGCTGCAACTATCAAATTTAATTCCTAGTAACTAACAATTTGGTTCTCGTATTTAATATCACTCTTCACATTATTTTTTATATAGGAATATGTCAAAACACTATTTAATACTTTTTTTTTTTTTTATAATAATCATGGATGTTCGAGCCAGCTTGCGCGCACCTCGACTAATCTCACGGAGCCCTCAAGTTTACGGTCGGATACTCACCTCAGTGGCCATGAGATGATTCGAACTGGTGACCATTGGGGAGCAAATTCAAAACCTGACCAATTGAGCAAACATTATTCGATACATGAAATCTCTCTTTTACAAAAAGTAATGGTCAAGAAAATTCATCAATGTTGCTATGACACGCAACGTCGAATTAAATCATTTTTTTCATAAAAAACCATTTAGTCGGTATGGATTAAAAGTTAATGTGTAATATTATTCATCCCCATTGGGGATGAAAACACAATTTATGTGGCACTAATGTGACATTAAATGATAGTTGAAATTAAATAATTCATTTAATCATTTAATTTCACCTTTCATTTAATCTATCATTTAATGCCATATAGACTGTGTTTTCATCCCCACTAGGGATGAATAACATTAGTCAAAGTTAATACTCATTATTTTATATGCTAAAATACGTCAGCAACGACATGGACCCACCACGTGAGGGGATGTCAACCTCGAATGTACAAGTAACATTATTGCTCACCAATATTTAATATGAAATAAAGAATTAATTAATCTCAAATTGCATTTGCAAGTCTCGTGGTTTATCCACGCAATTCATGCATCGTGTGACTTGCTTCCATGGCATAATTTTTAATTAATTGATTAAGAAATCTCTAATTATTTATAATTAAATCGTTCTCAATCCCCTACACACACTCTCTCTCTACAGCAACTCCAACTCTCCGTCTTCTCTCTCTAAAATCTTTCCTTTTTCTTTTTCTTCTTGATTCTTTCATGAACATTTATACATACAAATTTATATATGCACATATATATTGATTCTTTCCATAGCGTAATGAAACCGATACGATTTCCTTAAATTCTTTTCTTTTTTATTTTTCTCTGTGAGTGGACTCTGCGTCCCCAAAGTCAACATGCAAAGCATTGAAATCCGCCAAATTCTTGGGTGAATGCACGCTCATTTTTGTGGCGTTGTGAAGAGCTATACATACAGTTTTTTTTACAACAAAACTAGTGGGGAAGTGAAAAAAAAAGAAAGAAAAGAAATAGAAGAAGATGAAGAATGAAGAGCAAGCACGGACTCTGTTTGGGATTTCTCTCTCTGACAGACCCAGATGGAAACAATTCCTCATTTGCTCTTCTGGGTTCTTCTTTGGTTATCTTGTTAATGGCATCTGTGAGGTATAACATTGAAGAATTAAAAAAACTCATTTTCTTTGATGGTGTTTAGTGCGCGACATTTGTTTGAATTTCGGAAATTGAAAAAATTAATGGGAAAACGGAGGGAAAAAGCAGCTGTTACGATATTAATCTTTCGGACTTGTTTGGTGGAAAAATAATTGAATGCAACTATTGAATTTTGTCTTTTCATTTTGGTAAAAAGTAATTCTGTTTGCATGCTGATGAGTTTTGGGTGAGGAGATTTAACTTCTGTTGATTAATTGTATATTTACTCATATTCTGTTAGGTATATTAATTGTAGTAAATTCTGAACTTTAATTCCAATTTTGTGTATTTGATTGTCAATCTGTACATTTTTGTTAAAGCTGATAAAATTGGTCATTTTGATGTTTACCTTATATACAAAGGCGGTGGAATTTCAGGTACAGAAATAATTTAGGTTGGCAGATGATATCATCGTTAATTGGCCTCATCATCATTTTTTTATGAACTTCTTTCGAATTGATATGGCTCTGCATGAACCCAATTTATCCCTTTTCAATTACTAACGATTCTGCAGCATTTTCTATCTTATGTGGATCTGTATTTTGACTTGTTTTGCTCAAAATTCAGGAATATGTGTACAACAGGCTCCAATTCAGGTGAGGTTATTAATTGCAATCTTCGAAAATGGAATTTGATCTTACAGGACATCACGAGTTTTGTAATTATTATCTGATCGGATCTTTCGTTGGTTTACTTCTTATAGCTATGGATGGTACTTCACGTTCGTTCAAGGATGGGTGTATATATTCTTGATTTACTTGCAAGGCTTCACCCCTAAGCAAATGGTGAACCCGTGGAAGACTTATGTGAAGCTCTCTGCTGTGCTCATGGGGTCAAATGGACTTACCAAAGGCTCTCTGGCTTGTCTCAACTATCCGGCACAGCTCATGTTCACATCCAAGTGAAGCTCTCTGCTGTGCTCATGGGTTCAAATGGACTTACCAAAGGCTCTCTGGCTTTTCTCAACTATCCGGCACAGCTCATGTTCAAATCCACCAAGGTGAAAAAGAAATCCATTGGCTTACTTTAATCGTGTTGAAGATAAATGGGTTAGCATAAGCTCTGAATCTGCTTATAAGTTATAACTGGACGATTTCCACCTAGTTCTTGTTCTTATAATATCATCGAATTTAAGTCAGATAAGAAGTTACTATAAGTCGATTAATATTCCCTTTGAATATGACCTGCATATACAAGACTGATAAAGTTTTTTAACATTACAAAGACGAAAGTTTAGAGGATAATAAAGTCAAATGGTATGCTTGGTATAGATGATTTGATGGTACTGAATAGTATTAAAGAAGAAAAAAAGTTTAAATCTTGTGTATTATAGTGCTGCATACCAAAGATGCACTTCAGATTAATGGAAAATTGTATTTTCACTTGAATTGCTTGCTTGTGATGAAAAGATTTGTTCCCACTTCAACGATATCCTAGATAATAATTTGTTGTGATTGTATACAGGTTTTGCCAGTGATGGTAATGGGAGCCTTCATTCCTGGTTTGAAACGGAAATATCCACCTCATGAATACGTATCTGCTGTGCTTTTGGTGGTGGGTTTGATCCTTTTCACCTTAGCAGATGCTCATACTTCGCCTAATTTCAGTTTGATTGGTGTCCTGATGGTATCTGGCGCATTGATTATGGATGCCTTTTTGGGGAATTTGCAAGAAGCTATCTTTACCATGAATCCTGCAACAACACAGGTGATGCATTTGATTTGATTATAGGTGTGAAAAAAGTTGTCATGAGAAATTCGTGATTAGAAATTCTTCCTTCTTCTCACATTTGTTCAATCTTTTGACAGACGGAAATGCTTTTTTGCTCTACCCTTGTTGGCATGCCTTTCTTGATCCCACCAATGCTTTTTACAGGAGAACTATTCAAGGCATGGAGTTCGTGTTCTCAGGTAAATTCCAAAAACATCTTTAGTTTCATTATAATCCTTTGTAAACAATATTAAGTTCTCTTGTTTTTGCAGCATCCGTATGTTTATGGAGTTCTGGTATTTGAAGCCATGGCAACCTTTATAGGACAAGTGTCTGTTCTTTCCCTAATTGCCCTATTTGGTGCTGCCACCACCGCTATGGTAAGTTTTGATCCCAGAATTTTCAAATTTTTGCCTTAATTATCTCATGAATCACATTCAATAACTATTGGTGACTTCTAGAGGCCCCGATGAAAAATTGCATTTTAAATTCTATGGTTATGTTATCGTCTCTCTCGGATGACATTAAATGATATTGAGATAGTCCATACATCTTCCATGAAAATTTCACATTTTATGCGCGAGGATTTCTGTTGGACCTTATGTTATGCCCTTGCCTCTCTCATGAACATTGATGGCATGATCGGAGAGGTGGACTTGACAACAATGGACAGTACTGTCGAATACTGCTAATCTTAATCTAATGTATCATGAATGTTGGACATACCAGTTAAATTCTAATTTATTCTTGTTTCACATCAAACTATATAAATAGGTGACGACAGCGAGGAAAGCAGTGACTCTACTGCTGTCGTATCTAATCTTCACAAAGCCGTTAACTGAACAACATGGGAGCGGACTTTTGTTGATATCTATGGGGATCATATTGAAGATGTTGCCGGATAACAAGTCTCCCAAGAAGAGATCCACTGTTCCATCTCCTCCTCCTCCCATGGTCGAAAACAAAGCTCAAAGTGAAGACAACAGGTTTCAAATTGGAATTGAAGAAGCAGAGGAAAAAAGGCTATTGGTCTGATAGTTAGATGCTTCACATGTAATTTTCTTTTTATTCAATTTTATAGACATCGAAGTAATAGTATAACTCTTTCCCTCCCCTGCATGTTGAAGAAAACAAGAAATTGTACACCCCACGTCGCAGGAAATGTGACATTTTTTTTAAAAATGGTATTTTCAATATTCAAGTGGTTCTAGAATCGACTCGTGATAGAGGAATTCAAGTCCACGAGTATGTCAACACGTGCACATTTTAAAAGTTCATTAAGCTAAGAGCGACATAATAGCTTGTATAGAGTTATATTCGTGTTTAAAAGAGTTCGATAGAATATTAAGGTTAAAAGACTAATTGCTAAAAAAAAAACAGCAGAAATAAATCTAATTGATTTCAAATTAATGTGAATTCTACTTGGCCTATTTCTGGCTCATGTTTATAATTTTTTTTTATATAAATATTCACGTATTTTTCACTTATCTTTATATCTATTTATAATTTAAATACTTTATAAATTCTTCTCAAACGCACTTTTATATGTTGCATAGCCCCTGTTTGGTTTAAATTAAGTTTTTTAGTAATTTTTGATAAAAATTGGTGGAATGCGTGGTTCAAAAGTTGTGAATTGTATGAGATGTGATGAAAATTAATTGTTGATTTTGATTTAAATTTTAATCTGACTTTTTTTAGCTAAACCAAATAAGGGCTTATTGTATTTATTTTTTATTTGGAAAATTTCATAACTAAGAGGTTTAGTTTTACCAATTTCAAATTTAAGAGATTATGTTTGAAATTTCAAATTTCAGAGTTTTTTAAATTTTATTTATAAATAAATTAATTAAATATATATTTTATTAATTAAATATATTAAGTTCACAATTCTATATAATTTGTTCACAAATTTCATATAATTGGTCACAAATCACAATTTTCATAAGTCATAAATAATTTTATGGTCACAATTCAAAAATTTTATAGGTTACAATTTGTTCATCGGCCACAAATCGAAAATTTTATAAGTCACAATTTATTCATCGATCACAAATTTATTAATTTAATTAGTCACATATTATATAAATTGGTCACAAATCACAATTTTCGTAAGTCATAAATAATTTTATGGTCAGAATTCAAAAATTTTATAGGTCATAATTTGTTCATCGGCCACAAATCGAAAATTTTATACGTCACAATTTATTCATCGATCACAAATCTATCAATTTAATTAGTCACATATTATATTTCGGTCACAAACAGAAATTTTATATGTTATAACTTATCTTACGGTCACAATTCAGAAATTTTATAAGTCGTAATTTGTTCATTGGTTATGAAAATAAAAAATTTATACGTTATAATTTATTTATCAGTCACAAAACGCAAATATTAAATGTCAAAACTTATTAGACAGTCACAAATTAACAATTTTTTATGTCACATATTATTTTTTTATCACAATTTATTTTTTTCATTGGTCGAATATTATTTATCTGTCACAGATTAATCAATTTAATAGTTACAAACAACCAAATAATCTGTGACCACCACCAACACTTGTGACTACTACCTCACTACTGCCACCAACAATATGGCAACCAAAACCTCGTCGTCGGATCCACCACCACCACCTCCCGACAACAAACCATCATCTAAAGATACCGACATCACCACAACCACCACTACCCACCGACAAACACCGCACCACCACCAACACCCGACAATCATATGGGTCGCTAGAGATCCACCACCACAGCACACCAACGCAACCACCACCATCTCTATTTGCACCACACCCAACCACCACCCTACCAAAAAATCCGCAAACTTGCCGCCACTACCACCTCAATACACCATCACCGCACCAACAACTGGCCAATGGTCTCCCCACAACCAGATCCATCCTCACTCCGTCAACGTGTCCTACTACCATTGCTCTCACCACCACCGCCTGATCCACCCTCCCCACCAACATATCCATCGGCACCAACCACTTGTAGTACCACCATCACCATCGAATTGTAGCAAGTGTAAAGGGTAAGCTGCTCTGCAATGCAGTGTCATCGCGACGCTACAGCGGCGATGGATGCTACAACATTGAAAAGTATTTTGATATTTTATTTGGAAGACATCTATTAATTAATTTATTTTTCTTCTGCCCAATTCCTCGAGAGAAAACCCATGTCATCTCTTGTAATTCAAGCACAACTAACAAAACATAGCATGAGCTTAGGGAAAATTACATAAAACCAGGGGTTTAGTTTGACCTTTTTTAAAATCAGGTTTACCTTTTTAAAAATCAGGTTTAACGTTTTAAAAATCAGGTTTTAAGTTTATTTTTGCAAAAATCAGGTAGTATATTAAAACTTCATTCTTAATCTAATTTTTCAATTCCCTCTCCACCATTCTCGTCGCCTCCCCTTTTCCCTCCTTTCTTCTCCCTCCCTCCCGCTTCACCAACTGAATAAGTAATATTCCCCATAAGTTGTGCTGACCACGGAGGCTAGGAAATTTGATGATGTTGACGGTGCTGCAGTTGCTACTGATGTTCAGAAGAAGGTGAAGAGAGTCAAGCACTTTGGACTGCCTGTCCAGCTCTCTGAAGAATAGAAACGCAATTCTCGTGCTGATTGGTAGTCTAATTCACTATAAAATTCCTGCTTCGTTATAATTTTGGGTACTCGTAAGCAAAAATTAGGGTTTGGGTCTTAGCCATGATTCTTGCCTAAATTTGGGGATAATAATTTTACAGCGCCGCCGTTTTCTCCCCCTCTTCCTCTTGTTTCCTTCTTAATAGTGGTGTTGGTGTGGCTGTGGCGGTGGATATGGTATTTTTCGATTCAATTTTTGGTGGTGTTTACGTTGTCATGGCGGTTTGTGGTGTGTTTTGGGTGGTAGTGGTAGCAGTTTATGGTGCCACGAAGCTGTGATCTGAGCTAATGCCGGTCAATGATTGGGGATGGTTTTACAGGTGGTAGCGGTGGTGTTGTTGAGGTGGTGTTGGAGGAGGTGATGGTGCAGCTGCGATGGTTGTGCAGTGATTTGGGATGGGCTTGTAGATGGATTTTGCAGGTGGCAGTGGTGTTGTTTTTGAGGTGGTCGGGACGGTGGTGCTAATGCGAGCCTGTAGATGATTTGGCGACAGCGATTTTATTATTAGTTGTGTGCAATGGCTGTGGATGTGGCTGTGGGGGTGGTCGTGGGTGGGGTGGGATGAGTTGAGTTGAGTTGATGGTGGGTGCCTGTGACCTAGAATTATGACTGTGACTCGATATAATAGAGTTGTGACCAGTAAAAATTTTTTTTTTTCCAATCTGTGAATTATAAAAAATTTTAATTCGTGGTGGAGGTCATGGGTAGGATGAGATGAGTTGAGGGTGGGTGTCTGTGATCTAAAAATTGTGACTGTGACTCACTGTAATAGAAGTATGACCAGTAAAAATTTTGTTTTTTCTATCTATGACCTATAAAAAATTTTAATTTGTGGTGGAGAAATAATCCGTGACCATAAAATTCTTGATTTGTGACCAACGAAGTCAATTGTGACCTATAATTTTTTGATTTGTGATCTCGAAATAATCTGTGACCAATTAATTTGATAAGCTGTGACCTGAAATTAATTTTTAACTAATTAATAAGATATCTGTGACTAAATTGCATAATTAAATAACTAATTAATAAAAAGTAAAAAGCTGATTTTTGCAATTTTAAAACTTTAGCACCCGATTTTTGCAAATGTCAAAGTTAATCGATGCATGAAATTTTCCCATGGGCTTATTTTCATTTGTAACTGGACTATGGATGTTAACGAGTCAAAACTCGAAGTTTGGGGCTCGAATCAAATAAAATTGGTTTGAATTTTTATGGCTTAAGTCGAATCAAGCTTTTGCTGGACCAAAAAAATTAGATTTGACCCTAGCTTTCGANCCTATCTTTTCAACATTACATTTCAAAAACAAAGTGATAAAGTTTACATTTCAAAATTCAGGTGGTAATTCTATTTTATAATTATAATTATTAAAAATTTAAAATCTTAATTTATTGTTTTCTTCCCAATCCTTTCTCTCGTCTCTATCTCTCTCAGCCATGGCAACTCATATATCTCCCCCCAATCCCGATTTGCAGCCATACCCACCCAACCCCAAACCCAAACCTTAACCTTAATAATCCCCCCCAATCCCGGTGCTGCAAACACCGCGCCGTCGCCACCATGGAAGCATCAACGCGATGCTGCTGTAATGGAAGGTGATCAGAGATTCTTCGCGCGGAGTCGACGGCAACAGCGCTTTGCGACGATCTGGAAGTTGTCGCCGGAGACACCAGAAGCCGTCACTGAGAGCGATCTGCACAACCTGGTGTACTGTGATGGCTTATCTGATGGAACCGTAGTTTTTGGGGTGGTTTTTGTTGGTTGTTTGATCGGGTTATTGATTGAGCCTATTCAATTGATGATAACAGTTTTGACGAAGCCTATTTAATTGAAGCCATTTGCTAAGCACCAAAATTGGAAGAAGTGTACAGCGAGATCTACCGGGTTTTAAAGCTCGAATCCTTGTATGTCTCCTATGAATGGGTGACCACAGAATTGTACTGAGGGGATGACGCGGAGCATGTAGAGGTGATCCAGGGGATTGAGATAGGTGATGCACTACCAGGGCTGAGGAGTTACAAAGACATTGCAGAGATTGCGAAAAAATTGGGATTTGAAGTGATAAAAGAGAAAGATTTGGCCAAGCCACCTGCAAATCCATGGTGGAGCAGACTTAAAATGGAGAGGATTGCTTACTGGAGGAATCACATTTTAGTTACAATTCTTGCTTGGGTTGGGATTGCTTCGAAGGGTGTTGTTGATGTGCATGAAATGCTCTTTGTCATTGTGGATTACCTCACTGGAGGCGGTGAGACTGGAATTTTCACTCCTATGCACATGGTTCTTTGCAAAAAGCCCGAAATTAATTAAGTCAGTTGTTGCTTCATTTTGTTGCTTATTTGAATAGTTTCATTGTTTTTGTTCTTCTTTAAAGTTATCTATGGTAGAAACTTGTTTTCTTTAATCTATTGATGCAGCANGTTTTCTTCCCAATCCTTTCTCTCGTCTCTATCTCTCTCTCTCAGCCATGCCAGCTCATATATCTCCCCCCAATCTCGATTTGCAGCCATACCCACCCAACCCCAAACCCAAATCTTAATAATCCCCCCCAATCCCGGTACTGCAAACACCGCGCCGTCGCCACCACAATCCCGGTGCTGCAACGAAGAAGTCGAGGTGCGGTCACCACCACGGAAGCATCAACGCGATGCTGCTGTAATGGAAGGGGATCGGAGCCTCTTCGCGCGGAGTCGACGGCAACAGCGCTTTGCGACGATCTGGAAGCTGTCACCGGAGACACCAGAAGCCGTCACTGAGAGCGATCTGTAGGACCTAGTGTACTGTGATGGCTTATCTGGTGGAACCGTAGTTTTTGGGGTGGTTTTTGTTGGTTGTTTGATCAGGTTATTGACTGAGCCTATTCAATTGATGATAACAGTTTTGACGAAGCCTATTTAATTGAAGCCATTTGCCAAGCACCAAAATTGGAAGAAGTGTACAGCGAGATCTACCGGGTTTTAAAGCTCGAATCCTTGTATGTCTCCTATGAATGGGTGACCACAGAATTGTACCGTGGGGATGACGCGGAGCACGTAGAGATGATCCAGGGGATTGAGATAGGTGATGCACTACCAGGGCTGAGGAGTTACAAAGACATTGCAGAGATTGCGAAAAAATTGGGATTTGAAGTGATAAAAGAGAAGGATTTGGCCAAGCCACCTGCAAATCCATGGTGGAGCAGACTTAAAACGGAGAGGATTGCTTACTGGAGGAATCACATTTTAGTTACAATTCTTGCTTGGGTTGGGATTGCTCCGAAGGGTGTTGTTGATGTGCATGAAATGCTCTTTGTCACTGTGGATTACCTGACTGGAGGCGGTGAGACTGGAATTCTCATTCCTATGTACATGGTTCTCTGCAAAAAGCCCGAAATTAATTAAGTCAGCTGTTGCTTCATTTTGTTGCTTATTTGAATAGTTTCATTGTTTTTGTTCTTTTTTAAAGTTATCTATGGTAGAAACTTGTTTTCTTTAATCTATTGATGCAGCAAGTCTTGGACTGCCTTAATTGTCTTATGAAATTTCGGGTAAACAAAACGAATTTTCTATAAATTACTTTATCCTCAGTTTCTTATGTACTTTTTATGTTATATGCTGTTTATGTTGTAATAATGGGTTATGGGCAGTGTTCTAAATAACTTGTGTTTAACACCAGTTGGACTATAGAAGTATTCGTTTCATCGATATTCATCGTTTGTGACTGATTGTGACCGTTTATGGCCGATTGTGGCCAATTGTGACTAATCGTAACCAACTGTGACTTGATCATAATCAAGTCACAATATGTCACAATTAGCACAAAATTGGTCACAGACGATCACACTAAACACTAATTTGGTCATAGTTAGTCACATTGAATACACGATTGGTCACAATTAGTCACTGATTATATAAAGTGATTTGAAATTTTTTCGATAATTTTTTTAGGAGGTAGAGGCAGTGGTGGGGTGGTGGTAGGTGGATCCATGTGTTGAGGGTGTGATTTTCAATTTTCTGAAAATTTTGAAATCATCGGAGCGATCGTCGGAATATTCGTCGGAGTAATCGTCGGAAAAGTCGCCAGAGCAGTGGCCGAACCGGAGCCGGAGCGGTGTCGGAGATGGGGGAGGTGGTGTAGTGGGGTGATGAGGTGGGTGAGGTGTCATAGGGTGTAAATAATTAATATATATTATATTATAATTTAATGTTTAATGTATTATAATTTAATAAATTTATTTACCACTTGATTTTTGAAATAATCAAACAAATTTGTTAGTTTTGAAAAGTAATTCTTATATGTGGGTTTTGTGTATTGTTCCCTTATTTATTTTTAAGGGAATAATTCAAAACTAAAGGATTAACTATTCACAATTCAAAAATCAGGTTTTATGTTTGAAAGTGCAAAAATCAGGTTTTAGTTAATTAATTAAAAATATTTATTAATTAAATATAATAAGACTACAATTATGTAATTAATAGTCACATATACATAATTAGAGGTCACATGTCACATTTTTTAAAATTAATTGGTCACAAATTATTTCGAGGTCACAAACCAAAAATTTTATAGGTCACGGATTATTTCGAGGTCACATATTTTTAATTAGTCGGTCACAGATTATTTTTGAATAACATATTAATAAATTTTTAGGTCACAGTTAATTAATAGTCACATATTATCCTACCTAAATCAAGAATTTACAAGTCACATTTAATTTCACTAGTCACATATTTTCAAGTTGATGGTCACAGATTATTTTAAAGTCACATATTCTCAAATTTTTAGGTCACGTGACTCAACTACCACTCCGGCCACCAACATCACCACCAACAAACCCACCACCACCGCCTATATCCAACCTAAATCCACCGCGCCACCACCACCGTCAACACCTCCACCTACAAAACCAACAATACCCAACCCACAACCTCACCAACAAAACCAACGTCTCCACCGCCGGAAACCACCACAGCCACCAGACCACAACCACAGCCAAAAACCCAACCAAACACACACAATAATGTGCCAGCTCCACAAACTCACCAAAATCGTCGTCGATCCACCATAGCACCCAACACATCTACCTGCACAGCCAACAAATAACACCTAAAAACTCCACAACACCACTAAACCACTGCCACAACTCCACTGCCACTCCACCATTGCACGCAAACCCACAGCACACAAATACACACACACCACCCGTCGTGACGCTGCTGTGAAAGAGTCGCACAGCAGCTCGCGTGACGCTACCGTTCACTGCAACGATTGTGGGTTAAGTACTAGATCGCGAAAGAAAGAAGAGAGGAGAATGGCAGAGGAGATAGCAGATCTCTGACGGAGCAGTGCAGTCTCCGGCATCTGTGAGGAAGATCTGGGCGACACCGGTGCTCCACTTCGGCGGCGATAAGGGCAGTTCGAGCTCCGCCGCTATATAACGCCCAGCTGCTGCAGTCCATTCCATCACAGCAATTCGAGCTCCGCCGCGTTGCTTCGATCTCCTTCCATCACAGCAGCACACAATCCATTCACAAAGAGACGAGATGAGAGGAGAGGGGAGGTGAGATAGAGAGAGAGGGGATGGAGTACGTAGTGAAAAAAAACCTAATTTTTTGATTAAATAAAAAACCTGATTTTTGATTAAAAAACTTTTCCACCTGATATTTGCACTGTGAACTTGAAAGGCCTGGAACCATGCAATTCCTCTATTTTTAATTTAAGGCTCGATTCGTCACGGACTAACTTGGGCTCGGTCTTATCGAGCAACGAGATGGGCCGACTCGAACCCTTTTCGGGCCGAGCTACAAGCCCAAATTGACCCACCTGAACAAGCCCAACGGCTAAGAAAATGGAGTTCCTTCCATACCCCGACACCACCCCACCCCCACCCTACCCTTCATCTTCTCTCCCTGTGAAAGGGATGTGTGATCACCGCCAATTAACTGTTCACTTCCTTCAGTTAATTACCTAAAGGCCCATCTCTTTTCATTGCAACCACAATGGGTGTTGGAGGGAACTTCTGGGATTTGCTCAAGCCCTATGCCCGACACGAAGGCTTTGATTTCTTGAGGAACAAACGGGTGGCCGTGGACCTGTCGTACTGGATTGTCCAGCATGAAACTGCTATTAAAGGATACGCCTGGAAACCTCACCTTAGGCTTACCTTCTTCCGTACCATCAACCTTTTTTCTAAGGTATAACTCTATTTGGCATTTGCACACTGCGTTGTTTAGACTCCAAAAATACAACAGTCTGATTCACACATACTTTGATGGTCCATGCGTTTTACGTTTTGCCAAGTGCGTTTCATTTTTGGGGTTTCTGTAAGAAGTCTGTTCGTTTTTGAGGGTGAAATTGAATTGGGTTTCAACTGTAAAAATAAAAAATAAAATGAAATTTGAGTTTGTCATCATCTCTTTTAATTTGGTGCTGCTTTATTAACCAAGAATACACTTGATGGGCTTACTTGGAAGAATTATATTGAAAACAAGCATGATAAAAAATATAAAACTTGAATTAGTGATTGATTTGGTATGTAGTCATGGATGTATATTGCTTTAATTCTGGAAAGTGGGTTGATAATTCTTTAAAGAATTTGAGTGAGAATTGATATTCTGTCATAAATGTGCAGTTTGGGGCCTACCCGGTCTTTGTAGTTGATGGGACGCCATCGCCATTAAAGTCTAAGGCGAGGGCTGTGCGATTTTCCAGAGCATCGGGTCTTGATTTGTCAAGTTTTCCAGTGGTGGAGGAGGGTGTATCAGTCAAAAGGAACTCGAGATTTGTGAAATATGTTGAAGAATGTGTGGTGAGATAAGTTCCTATTATTTTGCTTCTTAAGTTTATATCTTGTTGGAGTTTCGGAGATGAAATGTATCTTGTTCTGATGCTGAGAAACTTTTCTATCTGAAGTAATCATGAAGTCAAACTTCAACACTGTGATGCTATTTTAGTGCCACACTTGTCTTTCAATTTATTAGCATTGCATCAATGTGCAGGGAATTGATGCATAGATGACACTTACTTTCTTTTTGCCGCCTAGTATTTATCCATCGTAGAGTGGAGAAATGAGATTTCATTGTTGATTGAATATTTACTAAATTGATCGTTTGATTAGCTTTCATGCCAAGTGTCAAGCAATTTAAGATTTTGCTGTACTAATAAAAATTCAGCTAGGTTAAAATGTCTGAAAAATTACTACAGGCAGGGTAGTGTTTATTTAGTACATATAGAGGATATATGTTAAGTCTTAGTGATCTGATCTGGTCTAGCAATGATTGTATTATTTAGTTATCGCCTCTATCTTCAAGTAGTCCTGCTCTACCAACTCTTAGCTCATGAACTAGATTTCCTCTAAATTAATTACACTATAGTATGTCATAGGAGTGGGTTTATGTATGCTAATGTTAGAATTGATTGCTTTTAGCATGTTTTAGTTGTCTAAGTGTTCATGGTCTTATTTTGCTAGGAATTGCTTGAACTCCTTGGAATGCCTGTTTTAAAAGCAAATGCTGAAGCTGAAGCCCTCTGTGCACAATTAAATAGAGAAGGAGTTGTTGATGCTTGTATTACAGCTGACAGCGATGCATTTCTTTACGGGGCCCAATGTATAATCAAGCGACTCCAGATCAACTCAAAAGTGCGTTTTTCATGGTTCTTGATTTCCTTTCAAAAATGATATTTCATGGCCATTGGCCAATTTGATTTAATTGTTGCTCTGTCGTGATGTGGATATGGTTTCAGTTTGCAATACTAAAATTTATCTTGTGTCCTTTGGTGGAAGAGAGCTGACCTTATTGAGAAAGGGGCAAAACCCTAAGTTTGTGTTGATTATCCTTTAACAATAGAATTGAGTACTGATCCCCAAAAAGTAGAGAAAGGAAGCTCTTGGTTGAATACTTTACAGTTTGTGAAATATGTAGTTAAAGTAATATTTTTCTCATAGTTTATATTTTGCTCATAGTTGAAGTAATATAGTTCTAGAGTCTTTGACGAAATTATCACAGAGATATGAGGTTTTAGGGTTGAATAGGTTTTAAGAGTTGAAAAGAATTTTAAACTACTTAAGACATTGTGGTGAGACTTTCTTATGGATGTGTGGCACTGTAAAAGGATATTCTTGCTTTTGGTTGTCCCTGAGTCAGTGACTGCTTTCCAATAACTTTCAGTCTGATCTCAAGTTTTGATAGAAGGGGAGCTAGATCTCCTAATTTGGCGCCTAGGTTGGTGGAATCATTCCAGTCCATGTCACGTGAATCAAGACTTTTATATAATTTTTGCCCTTTTTTTATCCAATTCATATTCTTCATGCGGCAGATGCACACCTTTGATTTCTTTCACTTCTATCATACCATGTATTGCTCCTGTGGTCCTACATTGCACCTAAACCCCGTGATGGTGGAACTAGAGAGTCAACGTCCTGACCCCTTTTTCCTTGGAATTGGAAGAATAGGGTTTATTGGAATTCAATGCGTAACTTAAAAAGTGAAAGAAGTCATGCAATGGTAATTATAGGAGCAATTTAGCCCCTGTTTGATGAGGATTAAAATCAGATTTTTAGTAGATTTTGGTAAAAGTTGATGAAATGTGATTGAAAAGTTTGGGTTGTTGACTTTGACTTAGATTAAAATATGGATTTTTTAATTTTTATCAAATGGGGGCTAAGAATGAAAACTCTTCTGGATATTACAGGTTTAAATAATCACATAACAACCTTAGAGGTGATACTTGCTTTATACTGAATTACTGATGTTGTTGGTGGTTTGCTAATTTGTGGCACGAATTAATTCACGTGTTGGGTAAAATAAACATTCACAAGTTATGCGAACTTTGGTCCCTGATGGTGGCTTGTTATATTTCACGAGCTGAGTGTGAGGTTTGGAAGAGAAAGCTTGTTGCTTCACTTGCTGCATTGACCTCTTTCGTTAGAAGTGTGTTGTGTTGCTTTGTCCACCTTATGTTTGTTATATCTCACTGTACTATTTCTTTATATGTGTTGCCCAAGTGTGTACACCTTAAAAATAATTTTCATACGTTTTTTAAGTTAGTTTAGGAAAGTTCCCGTACACTGTCTGTCAGAAGTTGGATGGCTTGGTTTGACTTCCAGTAAAAGTCAAATTACTTATGTGCAAGAGAGGCACGTCTTCCATAATCGATTACTTGAATCGTTTCAGGGCTATTTGTGAGTTGTTGGCTGCTTAGTTTTTGTTATTTTAAATTCTGAGGGAAAATGATCAGATAAAAGTTCCCATCAAATATTATCACTTGAAAACATCATCTAATGCATAAGGTGTATAAATTATAAACAAAAAATGAATGGGAAAAGCAATCTATTTTACTGTGAAAGTCAGCCAGGTCAGTTGATTCCAGATCTAGGGAATAGATTTTTTTTTTTCTTTTGCCCTAGTCGGATTATTACTTTTATCATCTGGGATATATCAAGTCAATACACAAAATAAACATGACTTTCATCTTTTATCAAATTTTTTTAACATAATTTTTACTGTTTTTATCTCTCTTTTTCCTGTATTATCCTTGTTTCTTTGATTAAGTTGGGAAAGTCTCCATTCTTTTATGCCCTTGCGAGGATGTGACTATCTCATCTTGCTCAGGAACCATTTGAATGCTATCATATATCTGATATTGAGGCTGGTCTTGGACTTACGAGAAATCATTTGATAGCTATTTCTCTGTTGGTTGGAAGCGATCATGATTTAAGTGGTGTTGCGGGCATTGGGATTGATACAGCTCTTCGTTTTGTCAAATGTTTCAGCGAAGATGAAATATTGAATAGGTATGCGATATATATCCCTTGAGCATGTGTGTCGTAGGCTTGTTAAATTTTTGGGGCTATAAGTAAATGTATGACAATGTTACTCAGGTTACATGAAATAGGCAGAGGAGGTGCACTGGTGATCCAGGGAAGTATTGCATCTGAAGTTTTACGCAGTTCTGATGAGAATTCACCAAAGACAAAATCTTCTCATTGTTCCCACTGTGGGCATCCAGGCAGCAAGACATCTCATCTTAAGTTTTCTTGTGAATATTGTGGTTCAACTACTGGCCACAGTTGCAAGCAGAAATTCGTTGGATTCAAATGTGATTGCTCTTCATGTGATTTGGTCTACCTTTTAACTCTGTCTTTCCTGTCTTTGTCTCTAGAGTTTTTTTAGCTCTACATACTTAATTCTTTTGGTATTTGATTTTAGATTTCTGTACTTTTGTTCTTTAACTTTATGCATGGTTTTCGATGCCAGGACAAGAAAGAAAAAGAACGGAAGAAAAAGGAAAATTGGCAAATAAATGTTTGTAGAAAGATTGCGTTGGAGAAAAATTTTCCGAACGATGAAATTATCCAGATGTACCTGAGCAACCACCATGGAACTGGTACGATTGGCTAAAGCTTATAGTCTTATATATGTGTATTATGCATGTTGAAAGAAAGAAATAGATGAAATTGTCACCATGTATCCTGAAGGCATTGGCAATGTACTTGGATCTGGTGATCTGTGCTCTTCTTCTTTACCATGAGCTCGGCACAATTACAGTTTTTGTTTTTCTTTCTAGGGTATTGCTTAGTGTCTTTAAATTGTTTGTATTTTTGTTACTGGATTTTTGCTGATTTCAACAGCTACTTATTAATCTGCTGTGTCCGTCTTGTGGCAGATGATGATCCATGTATAGGGTGGGCAAGTCCAAAGACTGAAATGCTGGTTGATTATCTCACTTATCAGCAGCATTGGGAGCCATCTTATATTCGGCAAAGAATGCTTCCCATGTTATCAACTATCTATTTGCGAGATATGGCCTCAAGTCCAACAAATGACTTGTTATATGGACACTACGAGTTTCATAGTGTTCAGCGTGTGAAAATAAGACTTGGGCTTCCGTTCTACGTTGTTAGGTGGAAGAAAGCTGTTAACGCCTTGAGTGATGCCATGTCTGCAATTCCCGAAGAGCTTGATATACTGCAGGGATCTGAAGAACCTGATGAATCTAATGATTTGCTAGAAGAACCTGATGTACCCGTTGTTTGCATCAATGATGGGTGCTGTTTTCTGTCGACAGATGAAGATATGGAGCTTGTCCGAAATGCTTTTCCAGAAAAGGTCGAGCAATTCTTAAAAGAAAAGGTGAGCAATTCTCTCTCTATCTCATAAAAGAAAAGGATAACAGGATTTCTCTTACTCTCATAATAATTGTGTAAAATGGGCCACCAGGAACTGAAAGAAAGGAAATCAAGAAAGACGAAATCCAGCTTGCGGTCTGAAGGGACACCCAAAAACTCAGAATCATCCACATCTCAAAGTATGCAGCTCAGCATTACTGAATTTTATCGTTCCTCAAAAGTCCTTTGCCAAAACAAGGTGGAGGAAATTGCAGAGGATGATCTTGGCTCCGCTGAAGGAAAAAGGAAAGAGCCAAGTACAAGATTATCCAAGTCCGTAAGGCGTAGGCTTTTATTTGACTAGGGCAGCAGCAACATAACGTATTTTGTCACAAAACCTGAATTTGTCTGTAAATGCAGTGTTCATTTTCAGCTCTTGGTATCAATACTTGTGTTAAATGTAAATATGTTTTCGTAGAATTAAAATTCGAGGATTGAATCGTTTTCGTGAGTTCTTGTTTGTTTGATGATTCAAGTGGAAGAAGCTCAGGTTATTGAACAAAGTTGTTCTTGAATTACAACCCAATATAAGTTAGATGATCAAATTATAATTAATTAAAGTTAGGTGACCAACATAAAAAAAAAACCTGCAAGTTGGATAAACTTGAGTGGAATTTTCCTTCAAATAAAATCTATTAATTTTACAACAATTCTCACTTTTAATTACGAAAATCCTAATTATATTAAATTATAATATTTAATAATATAAATGTATTCTTATTGTTTCGAATTGCGTAAACTTTAATTTATCTCAAAAAGAAAAGAATATATTTTAACGATACAAAATATGTAAATATATCAAATGTGGCAGAATTTCAATAATAAATTATGTATATCATGAATATACACAATATATACAGAATATGAAGAAGAATAATTATAATATTGGTTCTTGAATATGAATAATTTTGGACAACATATGAAATTAATATTGAGATCATGGCATTACTCAATTATAATTTCTTCATATGTTATAATATATACATACTGCCCACCTTCCCTTCATTGACAAAATTAGTTCATTCTTGCAGCATTTGTGTATAGAGCTGATTTCTCATGTGTGGGTGAGATGTTATTGAATATCATGGGGAGGATTCATTTTCGGAGAATGTTGTCGAAAAATGCGATCGAACAACGTTGGATTCCGTTGAACGTTGCTAGTCGAAGGGTATTAAACTCGTGCTCAGTAGTTCTTGAATCGAAAATTAATATTTTTGATTGCATTATGAATTACGATTTAAGAATAATCCAATTTTAGATGGATCTGTTTATTATAAAGAGTCGTAATTCCTGACCCTGCTTCGCCTCGGTATTTATTACCGATCAGAATTGGACCATATCGGCAAATCATTTGCCAATCTCAATCCAATGAACTACTCACTAGTAGAATTGCAAAATTTTGGACATGGTGGTTTTTCTACCTCTATTGATGCCCTATCTGATCACCATATACTTGCTGCTGCATTTTCCGTTCGTTGCAATTCTGTCGAATTTTCCAGATTGCTACAAATTGGTCCTTGGATTGTTTGGATACTTCAAACTAGTCCCCGAATTTTCAGGTTTTTCAGAATATTGCAGAACTGGTCCTTGACTTGGTTTTGTTGTATAGTCAACAAAATTGATTTGCTAATAAAAGAAAATGTGCGGCACAATTAATTCAAGATACTTGTGCAGGTTTGGTAATTGTGATTGAATTAAAAAAAAATATTTTCCATGAAAATGAAATGCAACGAATGAGGGAAAAATAATTAATAAATGTTGGAATTGATCGTGGTTAGTCTAGCACATACCACCTCAAATTCAAGTGATATCGGTCGGTGCAACCCAATTTACATTTCTATATACACTCTATTTATTATTCAGATATCGAATAATATTAAAATTCATAAATACACGTGATTTAATATAAATAAATACACCCCGCGAATACATCCTTAAATTAATTATGTCGTGCATTTGCTCTTATTACCATAGCATTTTTTTCGCCTATATAACAAAATTTTCATTCCAAGAATATTTGGTCACATTTATGCAATAAAGAGCAATTATTAGAGGCATGTGTCAAAGAAAATAATCAGATTTTAAGAGATTTTCTTCACATTTATCATTAATTTTCAAGAATGGGCACCATGGAAGTTATCCCAGATGAGAAATCTAGTCAATCTAATGGAAACAAAGAAATTTACATTCTTGTTGTGGATGATGATCTTAAATGCTATGCTATGGTAGCTGAAATGAATCAACATTACACTACTTATGAAGGTATGTATTCTATTCCTTATTTTGAATTCGATCAAAGTTTACTAGCACCATATCGAGTTAATGCTACACGCTTTGTTTTCCTAGAATTGCATATTGGAGTTGCTCGTGAGGTTTTAGAGACGATGGAGAAAAGAAAGGACAAATTCGAACTTGTTTTGACAAATGTTTATAGGTTAGAATCGTGTGGGCGTGAGATTATCCGATATATAAATAAGCAGTTCAATCTTCCCGCCATTTGTAAGTACAACATTCTAGCTAGCTTCGTTTTTTCTACTTGGAAAATATCTGATTAACACAATTTCAAATTTGTTCGTAGTAATGTATCCAGACAATATGAAGATAGCATCGAATGGTGAAGAACATAGTATTAATGGAAATGTAGTGTATTCATTTAGCAAGGATAAATTAAATGAGATTTGGCAAATTGCATTCGAGAACGTGAAAGACAAAACGATGGTACAAGTGAGTTCTCAAAAGACATCTATGTCGTCTGAAGATACTAATTCACCATCAATTAGTGAATCATTACGAGTTCATCAGAAACGAAGGAGAGAAGAAAATAGAAATAAAATTGAACGAACTCGACGTGGAAAAGATAATTCTTCCATGAAGAAGAAACCAAGGATGGTGTGGACCAAAGAAATGCATGATTTATTCGAGAAAGCCATTGAATTATTAGGCCAAGATGGTAAGATTTTTTTATTTTTATTTCTTTCTTCTAAAAGTGCTAATGTTATTTCTAAATTAAATTTTTAACCTTCTCTGGTTTCTTTCTCAGAAGCAGTACCAAAGAAAATAGTTAAAATAATGGACGTTCCAGGGTTAACTAGAGAAAACGTTTCTAGTCATTTGCAGGTTTGTTTTTCATCTCATTACACTGATTCATTGCATGAAATTTATATATTATAAATAAAATCTTTTTAAGTTTAACTTTGGAATCGTTTTTTTTTTTTTTTTGTAATCTTTTTTACAGAAATATCGTGATAGCAGAAAACGAGATGAAGATGACACAAGCAAAGAAAGTCGACATAAGGGATCATTTTCTTTGCCATTGGGTTCGATTTCAATACTCGACTCCTTGCAAAGGAATCCTTTTCTCAAAGAACAGAGTTACGCGACACCTTTTCAACATCGACCTTATTTGTTGAACTATCAGATGGACACTCCATACCTAAATAAACGACATATACCTCTTGGGACCGTTTCAGAGACGAACAATTACTCAGATCTCGGAAGTTCAGGAAACAGAAGCCAAGATAGCTTGGAACACTCGCAACATATGTACATTCCCAGGGAACAAGACTTTACGCTATATGATCAAACTAAGAATGTTGGTGACTTCATTGGACTGAAATTGGCAAATGATGGAAAGTCAATCGAGTTTGGAAAAAGTAAAGTATTCCATTCAGGAACTACTGAGTTTAATGTCCTTGAGCCAGCATCATCCATGAATCAGAACATGATTTTAAATCAGTACCCTTCACCCTCCATTTCTCAACAGCTTTCTCCGATGACAGCATTCATGAGTCATAACCAACTGAACACGACTCCAGACCAAAACCTGTCAGCATTGTTCGACTGCATATCCCAAGAGCCGTCTCTATTAGAAAATTCTCCAAACGAACAAGATTCTAAGCCAATTTTAAGACCTACAAACGAAAATCAAGCAGTCCAATACTCATCTGAATTGCCAAGTACGGCAAATAAAGACGATTTCCAATGTACTTCAACATCAGGACATAGCATCTTGCAGCAGAAACCTGCCATGCAATTCTTAGAAACTTTCAAGAATGATCAGGGCACTTCAGCACTTCTCTCTGATCAAGATATGGATTGGAATGAAGTATGGCCGCTACCATTACCACAAACGCCGCAACAAATGAATGATTTTGTTGATTTTGTCAATAAAGAGAAAATGGAAAATATGTTACTACAAGTTAATTTGGACGACTTGAACTTTGAGCAAATTTTTGAAAATGACGAATCAATAATGTAAATAAGAGGAAACCACCATCTCCCGCCCCAAAGTTTTGACAATACTTTAGTATGATGCATAGGTGTAGAGTTCATAGTTGCATTAGGAACAACTTAGTTTATAATTGTAAATGAAATTTTTGCTTCTGATTCGTCCTTTCCTATCTTGTGGTATATTTGAATGACGTCATCGCATAATTTAGAGGAAGAGGTAATTCTGATTTGTTTTCTGCGAGAAACCAGATTATCTTGGAAGCAAAAAATTATATAGGGATGGCTGCTGGAGGAAGAGTGTTAAGAGACAACTAGGGAGTAGGGACATGTTCTATCAGCTTTCCATGATTTGTATGCTTCATGCTCAGTAGTTGAAACAGAAAATCCACACTGGACTTGTACTGAAAGGTTATCCATCCCAAGTAGTTTTAGGGCATCTGTACTTATTTTGAAAGGTTGACGTGATGTATTCGAAACTCTTATTTTTAATAAAGTTTAACTGACATGACATGTAAGTGTTGTAAATGGGGATGCTCTGATATCAGTTTGTTTAAGACGATACGAGATTATAGGCACAATAAAGAGTAAAGATCACAAACTTACAAGAATAATATAATTTGCAGAGTAAAATAAGTTTTCACTAAAATATGTAGAAAGAAATATAATGATTTGTGTTTAGAATTTGCCTAACTAATAATGGGGATAAACAAACCTCCAATAAGGTTAAACTAGCCTATAATGAGGTTAACAACCCGTAATGGGGTAAAACCAACCCAACTAAATTGTAGACAAGAGTAAAATATATATAGAGAACAATCAAAACCCTAGAAGTAGAGTTGTAGATGAAATAGAATGCCTAAAACTTTCTTTATCTTGATCTCTTCAAGTCCAATACAAATTTCAACTCCCATCAAAGCATCCAAATAGAACTTCAACTAGAATTTGTCAAACAGACTTCGAATAGGATTCTAAAATCATTCCAAATAAAATTATTCTTAAGTTGGGAATTAATTAGAATTATCTATCATCTTCAAAGTAGAATTGGGTCATACCCTAATTTTAACAAACTCATCGCGAATTCTATTGCAATGAGTAAACTTCAAGGATTCTCCACCTGCAGACAAATTCTACTTCAAGGAATAAACTTCAACTTTTCAACAAAAACACAAAAAAATTCTCCATAAAAAAATTTCAACTAGAAATATTCTCCACATCTACCACCCCAATTAGGTCAAAACTAAATAATTGAGTACGAAAAAAATTCCAAGCACATGGCTTCGACATTACCAAACAAGGGAAAAATAAGTCTTGAAACAGAATCACTAAAACTGAATGCATCGAAAGAAGGATCTAGGTTAAAATCAGCACCCTTAATCGCATTCGAACCATCAACTAAATAGTATAATTATACCTATGTTGAGTCTTATGGCCAAAAAATAGGTTTGTTACTAACAACTGAATATAATGACACTGCTGGTAATGGTGGCAAGGCAGATTTACTCATAACTTACAAATTCAATTGAAAAGTATTCTTCAAAGAAAACCCCAAACAAAACTCCAATGGTACATAATCTAATTCCAATTCCACCTGAGTTCTTAAAATATGCTTATTGATAAAAAAAAATTGTGTATAACACTATGAGATATATAAATGAGATTTTCTATATCCCTTTAACAAAACACGGGTTCCTTTACTAACCTTCAAAACTTCACTTTCAACAGTGCACATGTACCTTTTTAAATCAAGAGTACTTAAGGAGATAATATTTCTCTTCAGATCTGAAACGTATTTCACTGTATCAAGTGTTCTAACCGTCTCATCAAACAACTTTATTCCAACTCGAACAATACTAGCTATCCAACAAAGTCTATTATTTCCATTACTACTACACCTTCCGAAATTATTTCATATGTTGAAAATGAATCCCCGCTTAGGATATGAAAAATGCAAGCTGTATCAAGAATCTAATCCTAGTCAGGTTTGAAGTAGTAGTCAGAAATTAAAAAAAAAATCTTCATTCAATGGTTTCACCTGAAGTATTTAATTTCTTTCCCTTTCTGAAAAGCTATAACCAAATTTTCTCTATTCTGCAACTTATAGCAATCTTTAATTAAGTGCCTCGAATTCTTACAGTAAATTTTGAAATTAGATCTTAATTTGACCCTTATACAACCACTATCAAGAACAAGGTCATCTGTATGAACCTCAACAATATACTTTATCTTCTCCTTTAAAAATAAAGTATCATATGATTCTTCAATGGTGAGGCCACGACTATATAAGATCGTGTCTCTAAAACAACAAATATGAAGAGGGCAAAAAACACAACAAAAAATCAATCCCATATAAGCGAGCACCGCTCGCCTCCTAATTTGCCACAACGAAAATTTTGTACTACAATCCAATAACGAAATATCAAATTTCATGGTTGCCATCACAAAAGATCATGTTGAGCTCTTAACTTGATCAATACCTCGATCTCCCAAGAATTTCCAAACGTTTGGCTCTGATACCAATTTGTTGTAAATTTGAATGCTCATATATTAGTTTGTTGAAGACGATACAAGATTATAAGCACAATATGGACTAAGATCACAAACTTACAAGAATAATATAATTTATGAAGTAAATGAGATTTCACTAAAATATAGACAGCGAATTACAATGATTTGTATTTACAATTTGTCTAACTAAAGATGAGGATAAAGAAACCTCCAATAATGTTAAATCAATCGATAATGAGCTTAACAATCCATAATGTGGTAAAACCCACCCAACTAAATTGTAGAGAAGAGTTAAATATGTAGAGATCAATCCAAGCCCTAAATGTAGAGTTGTAGATGAAATGAAATGCTCAAAAGTTTCTTTCTCTTGATCTCTTCAAGTCCAACACAAATTTCAACTCCCACTAGAGTTTCCAAATAGAATTTAAACTAGAATCTTTCCAAACATACTTCGAATAGGATTCCAAAAGCATTTCAAATAGAATTCTTCTTAAATCACGAATTTAATTAGAATTCTCAATTATCTTCAAAATAGAATTCGGGTCACACCCTCATTTTAACAGTAACACTCTTAAATCGAGCACACAGAATTGTCAATAGTACCTTACTATGTCGGTCAGTGATTTTGGTCACTATGTTGTCGATGATCACTAGCTGGCATTGCTTTAGTTTTGTTATTGCCACATCGGTGAACGCCGATGAAGAAGCATTTTTTCTTTCTTAGTATTTCACTAGTAACTTAAATTTTTCTTTTCTTTTTTCATTTACAATTTTGCAACTTCTATTTATTCCCAACAAAAAAATTCTTTATGAATGTTTTAAGTCCATATTTTAAGTGCTTTATTTATTGATGATATCTTCGTCGGAATATAATATTTATTGCATTGTTTATTTTTAAATATCACTTAGCTGAAATTCATTCGGAATCTTAATTGTTATTTAATTACCGAATAACCGAAAGGATTTCTATAGTAATGTTTTAATTTTTATTCTTTTTATTTTACAATAAAAATTCTATTGGTAAATTAAACTTAGGTTTGATATTGCATGATTTTTTCAAGCTAGTCAAACATACTTTTTATCTACATATATTTTGTAGAATCAAACTTACTATTCATTTATTATCTACACAGAAAACAACTGCGTGCATTTTAGTACGAGAATTTTAAAGATGCAACCTTCATCGTGTCGAAGGCAGCTTATAAAGACTTTATAACAGCTATACTATCGAATATAGAATTTTAGATATGAAATCCGACATGTGATTTGTTGAGTCCACGTTGCAAGGGAATTCAATTTCACCAGAAAACAAAATGAAAATTCACCGCACTCTTCTCAGCAAGATAAGTCTTTGCGTGGCGTGACATTTCCATATGAATTGAGGAGGAATTTGATTCACTGCATCATTAGATGTAAATCAAACCTTTTTCAATAAAATCCTACCATTAAAAAAATTAGTTTATCTGATGGCCCCAGAAATGCAGAGTTGCTCTTAATTTGTAATACATAATTTAACAGAGCTTCAAGGCTTCTTATATTACCATTATTCGTCTCCACTACTCTCGAATTATTGTACACAATTTGGTTTAGGGTGTCGGATATAACTAAGTGTTGATCCAAAAAAATGTGCTGCTGATGTGGCCAACAGATCACAAGGCCTCTTACGTCCACGCAAGTTTGTTTGGTGTACACTTGGACAAATCGTTAGTCACACGTGGCCTTCTTCGATGTTGTCTTGTCAGTTACAGTGATCCGTTTAGGATCTCTTCATCACCTCGTCCTGGACTGACTCTTCCTATGGGTTCCATGTGTAATGGGGTCGACCCAGCTTTATTTTGCTGGAGGAAACGGGCCGTTCACACTTGAGGGTCGATCCAACTTCGCCTCATGTTAGTGTACATGGCATGGGACCGTCAAATCGTTTGCCATGCAGGAGGGTTGAGGTCACGTGGGAGTCCTTGTCTAGAGAGACGTAACACTAAGTTCAAGAACCTTGTACAAGTTTTACTTGATAACTAGAATCAGCAGTAATATTTTTCTGTAATGTGAAAGAAGGAATAAAAAGTTACCGGTTTCATGTCGAAAAATATTTATTGCAGCTTAAGCTTTCTCTGTGGTATGGACTGTTCTCTAAAGTCCAAATGGAGATTAACAAATGCAGGCTGCACAGTGAAGTGCAATTAGGACAAGTAAAACTGCATCAAGTACTGATTCTGCAGTAATGAGTATAATCTTTATATCATTGTCCACACAAGAGCATACCAGATGCCCTTTTTTTGTCATGAGATACTGAACATTATTTTAGAATTGAAACCCAATCATTGATCCAATATAAAAAAATATGGGACTTGAATTTGTAGCTAAAATGCTACTTCCAAGAATACATGTTGACCTATCCAACTCCTGATTTAGGAACCTGAAAGTGTATTAACTATGAGATTATCGAAGTTTAGAAAGGTATGCGTGCAACGTAACATTAATTTGCAGACAAAATTTTGCACTTCCATTGATAAGTTAGCCAAA